CAGCAAACAGCCCTTAAGCAGAGTAGTATATGCTAGGTGCTTTGTGCTTTGACAGCAAAAGGACCTGCACAAGTGCCATGCTACAGGTATTCAAACCTGACATCACTGTTATTCAGTCGCTTCAATTTGGGAAGCAAAACCACCACCTCTGTACTTCTAGAACTTGGCTGGACAGGCAGGAATGGAGTTGGAAAGGTTAGGCCACATGCTTGCTGTTAGCACCTAATATAAGAATCAAGACTTAAAGTGGGTGACATCTCAAAGGTTCCAAATTTAGTTCCACTCTTCTATTCACCTTCCTACTCCTCTGCCTTTACCCCCTAGCCTGGAGCTTTAATTCTGCAGAAATAGCTGAGGTGAATATGCATGCTAAAAGGAGTAATAACTTGCTTTTTTTCTTCTGTTTTTAAAGCGATAGTAACCAGCACAGAAGAAAAGGCTAAGAAGCAATAAACCTCAGCAGAGAATCTAAACAAGCTTTTAAAAACTAAAAGCAGTCCCATCTCCACCCTCAGATTCTGAAATTCTGAGCTAGCATCCAAAGGGGAGAGTCAACTTCTGAAACAGTGTTTATTAGGTATAGTCAAGATCTAGGTCATGGGAGAAGCTTGTTGAAATGTAGATTCCTTTACCAATCCTGGTAATTTCCAGGGCTGAGCAAAGAGACCAGATTGCAGAGCCCTGAAGAAATGGTGCAGCAATCCGAAACCATGGACTCAATTTCCACTTCACATTCATTAGTCAAGCAACTACCAAGAACATATGCTGCATCTCTCAATAACTGGCAAATAAATGCAGTATTGCCTGACAAATTGACTGTTTCTCCCCATAAGAGTATTTGGGAGCAGCTCTGAGAACGAGTTGAACAGTGACTGTTTTTCTATGAGACTGGACATATTTCATGAAAGAATTTGGATGTCACAAAGGAGGCAGTGATTGAGGCAGAGGACGTATTACTGAGATTACTAGGAAGCTGGAGAAATGGGAAGAAACACTTCATGGAGGAAAAGAAATGGCTCACTCAGTTGCCCTTGCATCATCAGAAATTCACAGTAGTACTCCTGAGGTAGATGAGACAAGCAAAGGACTACCAAGAAAGAAAAAACAAAATCTCAGGAGAATGTCTCCTCCAAACCCAAGGGGTAGGAAAAACTTCTTCACAAGCAGATGAAATCTCCCCCTAAAGTGACCAGTGACCAGGAAGAAGCAGGAAGCAAGGCTGTCTCCAATAAAAAGAGAAGAGCCACTCAGCAGCAGACTGGAAGAGGCTGGTGGCAGCAAGAGCAGCAACTCCACAGAGAAAAGCCATGCCAGGAAGACTAGGACAGACACTTCACTGATGGCACGTACCCCGTGGTGACATTACCCAACCCTTCTCTTATGTAACAGTAAAAACAAAAATTCACCAAAATAAAAAAAAATCTTAAAGCCAAAGAAAAACTAAAAAGAACACAATAAAATGTAGATTGTTGTGCCCCATACCCCAAAATATTGATTCAATAGACTGCAAGTAAGACCTAGAATTCTGCACTTTAACAAGGTGGCAAAGGTGTTGATATAAGTTAAATATGGAGAAGCCACAGTCCTAAAACGTATCTATAGACTGTTTAAAAAGAAGCTTGGTTAGTAGAGAGAATGGGATCAAGGAACACAGCTTCTTACTCTGGCTTGTTTCAAATCCCTTTGCTGCTGCCTGTTTCTCATCAGAAAGTTTGCTTCAGTTTCCCATCTGCTTTATAATTCCCATTCCTCGCCATGAACTCAAACAGATGTAAAGCTGTCTCCTGCAATTATTCTGGAAACTGCCATAAAGATGACTGGTTCCAACTCTTTTATATTACATATTTCACAAATGTGGCTCAGAGAAGAAATATGATAAAGGTCACAGTATACTGGTTAGTACCTGAAGCAATACTGACTCTTTTGACAATCCAATTTTCCCCACTACTTCAGGCTGCCTGTCATCATTCAGCTAATGCTAATAAACTTCTTTCAGATACTGGTAAAGCAGCAGTGTTTTGGAATTACCTTCCAAGTGGCCTCCCACAAAATAGTGCAAGGAGAA